GTGGATGGATGGATGGATGGATGGATGGATGGATGGATGGATTAGTGGGTGGATGGATGGTTGGATGGATGGATGAATGGTTGGATGGATGGATTAGTGTGTGGATGGATGGATGGATGGATGGATGGATGGATTAGTGGGTGGATGGATGGTTGGATGGATGGATTAGTGAGTGGATGGATGGATGGATGGATTAGTGGGTGGATGGATGGATGGATGGATTAGTGGGTGGATGGATGGATGGATGGATTAGTGGGTGGATGGATGGTTGGATGGATGGACGGGTGGTTGGAAATATGGACAGATAGATGGGCGGCCCCTAGGCTTATTCCTTGTAGGTACATTCAGATGAACCCTGGTGCCATAGGCTGGGTGTTAGGATCCCTATCTGGATGGTTAAGAAAAGGTCAAACTTCCAAGACAACCCCAGTCTCTAATACCAGTCAGACTACACAGCCCAGAACACGAGCATCAGGAGCTTAACAATGGAAGCCTCCAGAAACAGTCACCCAGGCCTAAGGAGAACCCAGGTGGCCCTTGTTTGGGGGGTGGTTGGGGGTCTAAGAGCGGGAACATAAAGGGGCTCCTCAGGCCCCATTTCCTCCTTCTTCCTTGGGGTCCAAGTCTGGCCAGCTCCTCTGAACCTGGGGGTGCCTTGGCTGGGTGAGGAAGTCAGGCCTGGAAATTCACTTGGAGGTGAGCAAGTCCTGCAGACCCTGTGGCTTCTCTGCCACAGAGTGTGCCTGTCACCTTCATGCCTGCCCACGTGGGCACACTGAGGGCAGCCGAGGGGGCTCCACCCTGCTCTGCCTCTGACCTGTGACCTTGGCCACAGTCGCTGCCCCTCCCTGGGTCTCTGCATCCTATTGTGGGCTGAAGGCCGAGTGGGGCTGCAGGGGCGGTGGGGCAAGGAGGCCAGGCTGGGCGTGGGTCGGCCCTGAGCAGCCGACCTGGCCCTTGCTCCTGCTTCTGACCACCATGCTTCCTCCCCCGCGCCCCCCTGGGGAGGGACCATAATTAACGTCTTCCTGTTCAGATCAGGARTCTGTTTCCAAAAACATATTTCGAAGGATTATTTTGCAAAGGAAATGTTTTTGAAAGAATCTCGTGTCCGTCCCAGCCCAGGGAAGTTGAAGCAAGCGGTTGGACCAGGGACAGAGAGTGGGGGTAGGGGTGGCCTGGTGGTCAGAGTGAGCAGGCACACTGGACTCCGGCCTGGGCCCTCTCTGGGCCTCCTTCGACCCACCCACCCCTGCCCCAGGAGCACAGGGTCCTGGGTATCAGTGGGCAGGAGGAGGCGGGGAAGCAGGGGTCTGCCTGGCTCCCTGTGGGCTCACAGGCTACCACCTCCCATTCTTCTTGGGTGCTCTCCTGCCCCCAAACCCGCCCCTGGGTTCTGATCTGGGCTCAGTGTCTAGCCCACCCAACTCCTCTGGGATAGGTGTTCACCAGCACCTGGGTGCCGGTGCCTGGCAGCCTGTTCCGAGGCTCCCTCAGATACCTCCTGTTCACTTATTTTTAAATTTTTAATTTTTTTTGTACTGGGGATTGAACCCAGAGGCTCTGAACCACTGAGCCACATCCCAGCCCCTTCTCTGTTTATTTTGGGACAGGGTCCTGCAAAGTTGCTCTGGGGCCTCCCTCAGCCGCTGGAGCAGCTGCCTCGGCCTCCCCAGCTGCTGGGGTTACAGGCGTGGGCCACTGCACCCAGCTCTTCACTTTCACCTTGAACTTGGCCCTCTCTCGGGCCTCCCTGCCTCATGGAAGGCCCTCCATCTATTACTCAAGCCCTACGCATGCGTGGTTTCTCCTTGTTCTTCTCCCTCCTGAGAAACACACGGCAACATTCACACTGTCCCCAAACCAGCGGAGCCCTGTGTGGGGAGCAATGGCCGCAGTCATTTCATGGACACTCTTGGTTCAGAAAGAAGTGCCTCTCCTCTCTAGGATTGTGGTCGAGGGCAGTAGACCTTGCAGATCTAGCCTTGACACTGACCAGCTCACGGCCCTCGACCCCCCTCCCCATAAGCCCCCACCTGTCCAGAAGACCCCCTCCACGTCCCCCGGTGGCCTCAGGCCAGCCTCATCTACCTCCGGATCTCCATCTTTAACCTAGATTGTTCTTGTCCATGGCGGCCCCCCAGCTCCCAGTGCACAGTGAGCTTTTAATAAATGTTTGTTGAATGACTGAATGAATGACTGGATCACATGGCCCTGGGAGGAGAGTTCCTGTCTCAAAGACCACCCCTCTGTTCCTGCTTCCTGGAKTCCCAAGTTCCTCTTGGCCCTGTTAGCAGGACAGCCACCTCCCTCTTCTGTGCCTCAGGTTCCCCACCCTCCCCCAATTCCATAGTGGCCAGCCAGTCACAGCTGAGTTACCCTGAGCCGGGGAAAATCCACACGCTCTACCCAGTGCTGGCCACACTGCTAGGGGACACCTCCCAACCCCCTGGGGAACCTGACATTCCATCAGAGCCTGCCAGCCAGCTGGGTGAGTAGTGGCCAAGTGCAAAGGGCACGGGGGAAAGTGCCCAGCCAGGTCACATCATCACCGCCACCGCCATGGGCCAGTGCTCCTCAGACAAGTTCTCCAGCCTCCTGGGTCTTCATTTCCCCTCTGGGACAATAAGGAGCTAGTGCTGTCCAGCCTGGGGGGTGCACTCTCCCTGCTCCTGCCCATTTCCAGTCCCACCCCGCTGGGGCTCCGTGGGGCTCGTGGCTCTGGGCTTCAGCTCCTCCCCTTCCACAGATGTCCTGGAACTGGTGTGAAGTTATTTTGGGAGCTGGAGGCTCCCGTGGGTCTTTCCCAACCATCTTGGCAGGAGCAAGCATTCAGGGCCAGCCGGGTCAGCCAGATGGGCAGGCGGGCGGCCTGCGGCTGTGGAGCTTGGTGTGGGGATGCAGTACAGGCTTCCTGGGGACAGGAGTCTAGGGAAGGGGCAGAGCCAGACCAGCCTACCCCGTGACACTCCCCATAGTCTGGGAGCAAGTGTCTGGACCCTGGGGGATGGGCACTCTAGGGCTCCTCACTGGGGCAACCCCGAACCTCTCCTGCCCAGTCTCACCTCTGTGACCTCCCTGCCTCTACYGAGCGCCCCGTCCTGGTGAGGCTGAAACAGCTCCCCCATCAAGGCCATCCTGTGAGGCCACAGGCATAGAAGTGGGAGGCAGGAGCTTAGTGTAGAGGGCTTGCCTAGCCTCTCCAGGGCCCTGTGTTCCGCTCCTAGTACTGAAAAAAAAAAATGGAATTTTAAATTTTCTACTAACTACATTTAAAAACACTGTCGAAGCCAGGGGCATACATTTTAATTATGTACTTTATCTGACCCAGTGTGTCAAAACTATTATCGTGATAACATGTGCTCCATTGCTAATGAGAAAATTCTACATTTTGGGGTAGAGTCTTCCAAATCCAGCGTGTGCTTTAAGCCCACATCTCAGTTCAGATGTTCCAAGTGTTTAATGGCTCCACGTGGCTGGTGAGCGGCTTCCAGACAGGGCTGTGTAGCTAGCTCCACATCATTTCTGTATTTTATTTTATTTTTTCCTGAGAACCTATCGCCTATAACAGAATTCTGATGATCTGTGAGCTACTTCTCATTCCTGTCCCCTCTGCAATACAAGCCACGCGACCTCAGGGGGCTGCCTGTCTTGCTCACCACTGTATCCCAGCACACGGTGGGTGCAGGACGGAAGGCCACGTGGTCTGCTCCCCTCCCCTCACCCCCCATCCCACCCCTGGGGGGTCACAGCAGCACACCAAGGTGCAGATGGGAAAGTTGTAGAGAGCGGGGATTTGAACCCGCGACTGATGACCTGCGTTCCCTGCTGTCCTCCCTGGCATCTTCAGGCCAGCTGAGGATTCCCCAGCCATCAGATCTCCTCTGATGGGAATCCCAGCTCTTCCTTCCTCAAACCCCGCTGGTCTATTTATAACTCTGCTGAAGCCTGCATCCCTGGAGCCCCGCTTCCATCTGGAGAAGTCATCACGGACCCCTCTAGGCCAGATAGCAGCAGGCTGCTCTGCCCTGCCCCACCCCACCTGCCCAGCTGGCTCCAGCCCTCCCTGCCACAGAGGCTCTCACTGGTCATTGTCTGGCCTGAAGCCCGGTGTCTGGACAGCCCTCTGCCTGGCCTGTCTGGGCAGTTGAGCTTCCTCAAAGATGGCAGCATCCCCAGCACCACACACACACACACACACACACACACACACACACAGACACACACAAAGACGGACGCACCCTGAACTATCTAGAACCAGCCCAGCATATGTGACCATCCACAGATGAATGGATAATGGATAAGGAAAATATTACACACACACACACACACACACACACTCACACACATATAATGAAGTCTTATTCAGCCATAAAGAAAAATGGGATTATATCATTTGCAGGAAAATGAATAGAACTTGAGAACATTCTGGTCAGCTAAATAAGCCAGACTCAGAAGGTTGAGGGTCATATATATGTTTTCTCTCCTATTTAGAAGGTAGAAAGGAAGAAGGAAAAGAAAGGTGGGGGTGGGTCTCATAAAAATCTAAGGGAGGTCAGTAGAGAAAAGGGATTAGGGGGAGCGAGGAGGGGAGAGAAAGGGGAAGTGGTGGGGACTGACGCTAGCTGAATCGTACTGTAATACTGTCTGCATATACGAATATGTGTCAACGGGTCCCACCATTACCTCCAGCTACAATGCACTCATAGAAAATGTGGAAAGAAAAGATGGTGGCATCCTGGGTTCACTCAAGGCTGGCATTTGGCCAAGCACAAGGGGTTTTACAGCCTAGCCAGTCCCAAATCCCATGAGTCCTGGGCACTGCCCCGGCCCCCCCAGGACTCTTCCCCTCACTCAGGACCATCACCACCCCTCTCCCTAGGTTACACCCCTGTAGCGACTAACAAGGGCGTTTAGGGTCTTCAGCCATCCTGACCCWGCTCCCTGGTGACTTTTTTTTTTGAGGTACCAGGGATTAAACTCAGKGRCACTCAACCACTGAGCCMCATCCCCAGCCCTATTCTGTATTTTATTTAGAGACAGGGTCTCACTGAGTTGCTTAGCATTTTACAGTKGCTGAGGCTGGCTTTGAACTTGTGATCCTCCTGCCTCAGCCTCCACTGGGATTACAGGGGTGCACTACCAAGCCCGGCTCCTAGTGACCTTTTGAGGTTGTTCACAGGAACAGCTCACCAGGGAAACCCACTGTGGCCTCAGTTTCTCCATCAACAAAATGGTCACCAAAGCCCTTGTCCAGCAGGGGTGTGTGTGACTCCCTTGGGAGACTGCAGAGTTAACAGACCACTGATCACTGCTGACTCAAGGAGTATGGCCCTGGGAGCTTCAAAAACAAAGGGGCAAGCTAAGACAGGTGGGCCCCCAAATCCCACCCCTCCTTCTGCAGAATAGCAGTTAAAAATGCRCTGTGTGACCTGCGCCCTTGACCTTGCCTTTGGGCCTCCGTTGCCAATATGTACGACAAGGAGGTAAAACAAAATTGGGTGATGGCGCCGCTCTCCACGGGGCTCGGGAGGACTTGTGCKAAGGGCTGGTGCCCTGTGGGCTCTGGAGCCCATCTGGGCAGGAGCCCCTGGACGGCACAGAGAGGGAGAAGCACTTATGTCCTCTCCTACAGAGCGTGACATCCCACAGCCTGACCACCCCACGTCCTCCACTTCCTGTCCCTCCRTGGACCAAGGTCAGCCTTGCTGTCCCGGCACTAGCACCAGCCTGGGCAGAGCACATGGGCAATGATCGCTGTCCCACTTGGCTCCCT